ACACACACACACACACACACACACACACACACACACACACACACACAAAACCTAGCCAGACAATATTAAGCTCCAGTGAAGAATTCTGGTAATTACCAGCTGTATTTTAGAAATCACTGTTAAATATGTTTGTCTCCATTGTTTGTGATTCTTCTTAAGATTGAAAACACTCTTCTCTCTGCTGCCTGCCTCCCTCGCCATTTTTTCCTTTTCTTTGCCCACTGTTTCTTGCTACTCGTGCCAAATTACTCACTTACTGACCTTTTGGTTCAATACTACATTCAAAGAGGGAGGGGAAACAGAGCAAGATAGAGAAAAGGAGGGAGAGTGAAATCAAGTGTGTGTGTGTGTGTGTGTGTGTGTGTGTGTGTGTGTGTATACACAGGAATGCTAGAACTTAGGAGCACCCCCACCAAAAAAAAATTTTTTTTAACAGAAAATGAACTCTAGGACAGGGATGGTTATTGTTTTTTAATGGGTAGAACTTACTGAGACCACAAATTGGTGCTAAATATGAGTCCAGCAATGTGGAATTCATTTGCTTACTAAGTAACAAAAATTCACTGAGTACCTACTATGGTGAGGCGCTGTGCTAAATAGTAGATATTTGGGAACGTGAAAGAGGAGAGTGGCTCCACAGGTTTGAAAGGAAATTACCACTTATTGCATGGTAAATTTTAACTTTAAAATCTAAGCCCCTTATCCACGTAGATTCAAGAATTTAACAAATATTTACCCAGTTTTATTGACTATTTCGCCCTTGAAATATTATTTGTCATGCTTCATGATACTATGCTCTTCTGGGATTTTTCTCTATGTCTTAGACTGCTTTGCAGGATTTTCATCCTTAGCTTGAAATTTAAGAGTTAGTGTTCCCTATGGCTCTGGCCTAAATTTTCATCTCTTTAATCTACATACTTCCCCTGGGGAGTTTTCATTGCTCCTATGACTTTTTTTTTTAAGTAAGCTCTATGCCTAATGTGGGGCTCGAACTCATGACCCTGAGATCAAGGTTGCATGCTCCACCGACTGAGTCAGCTAGGTGCCCCACTCCTAGGAATTTGAGTACCATCTACATGATATGGAGACCAATCTGACAACAACAAACTCTGCATGTTCAATTTTCGCCTTCTGAGCTCTAGCCTCAGGTATGAACCCTCCTTTTGACACTGCCACTTGGATGTTTCAAGGTCCCCAAAGTGAAAATATCAAAAAGTGAACTAATCAACTTCCGCTTCTCTCACTGACTAGCACAACCATCCGCAAAGTTGCCCAATCAAGAAACCTTGGAGTCATTCTTAACCCTTCCTTTTTATTTCCTGGCAACCAATCTCAAAGTTCCATAGAGTTTTAGATCTTAAAATATACTAGGAAACCACCCACTCCTCTTCATGCTCTCTGTTACCATCCAATCCAGGTCACTATCCTCTGTTGTCAAGATTCCCAGAAATGTCTGCTTAACTGGTCCCTCTGGTTTCAATCTTGAATATTCCCAATTATTTTGGACTTTACAACCAGTTAGTTACCTATTAAAAATTCAGACTTGATCATGTTGTTGTTTTGCTTCAAATTTTTAACTGGTTTCCCATATTCCAAAGGTAAAATTATAACTCCTTTATGAGGTTCTTTAGACCTCTGCTTACCTTATCAAGTACAGTTTTGCTTTTTCTCTCTCAATGCTACATTCTACCATACCAAACTTCTTTTACTTCCTCAAACATGAAATTGATGTTCTTTTACTTCCTTCACATTGCCTAAAACTCTTCCAATCTTCCCTCCAAACTTGCCAGAGCATTTAAATATTGGCTTCCTTTGGGAAACCTACTTGGTTTGCTACTCACCCTACCCACCTTCAACCCTCTACACGTCCACCCAACCTATCCTATCTCTACCAAAGACATGTGTTCTTATTATATGTTCCCACAGTGACTCATATCCCCTCTCATATCATTTTTAATTATTTTATTATACACCATTTATTATTATATAACAGATACTTTCCCAGGGCAGGAATGCATCCAGTAGAAGCAGCTTGCCTTTGTATCCCTAGCACTCAGTACAGTGTTACACAGAACTGGTGCTCAACAAGCATTTGTTCAATGAATATATGACACATCTTTTACTTGGAGAAAACTGGAAAGGGTATAGAGATAAACACCCCTCTATCCTTAAGGAGGATAACATTAAATACAGAATGTCTGTTATACATAATTATATGATGATAATGAGTAAATAAAACTGACTCCAATTTGGATACATGGGGATTTGTTAACATTGCAAATTGGAATTAAATATCTATCTCTCTCTTCTAGGATAATCTAATCCACACTAAATACTTCTGGAAGACAGTTTTATGATTTTATATTATAGATGAGAAAATAGGCACAGCAAAGTTAATTGAGTTACTCAAAGTTGCCCAGAAGCAGAACCACTATTAAAATTCAAAGCTGTCAATTTCTAATCCTTTGTTATTGTTGTTTTTGTTTTTGAAACTATTTTGCCTTTGACTCCCCAAAGTTCTGTGTGATTGTAGGACTTCAGCCTAAATACTTTGTCTTCTCAAAAGTATCACCTGTGGTATTTCTATTTGAATACAGAACCTTAGGAATATAGGTCTTTTTGCTGAATTTTCCTCGTGTTAAAATGAAAGGTTTTTGGAGATGTGTCTCTGTACTCTTGTACATTCTCAGAGGTGTCAGTTTCTTTGTTCTTAATGGAGTGTTACTATCGGGCACTAATTACCACTACAAAGTGCCAACATTGAACTTTCTTGCTGCTGGACATCATACTGGATACACTACATCTATACATGTCCATTGTTAGTTGGCTGGTGCATTCTACTGTACTTGCTGGACATTTTGGTAGAAAATGCTACCAGTTCTTCATAAATATTTGAGCAGAAACTTAGGCTATTAAATTTAACAGGATTACCAGTTCCAGCATTTGTATTGTGAGAGACATAAACTTAAAAAGGTTTGTGCTGTCATTTCAAAAGGCCATGTATGTACTATGTACTCAATAAATAGGTTTCTATGTGCTAGTGTGGGCAAATACAATGTATAACCACAGAGCCTTAAAAAGACTTTATTACCTTCTCAATATATATATTTAGTATACATAGAAGCTTTGCTTTTCATAACTCTGATATTAATTTCTCAGAGATAGACAAGATGAGTATACACTTGAGATTTTTCCTAGCCCCAGACAGGACCAACCAGGGCTGTTTCTTTTCAACCTGACTATAGCTCAAGATGTTAAAAGAATTTAATCTGTACAGAATTGTGGCCAACACATGCCACTTTTTTTAAGTATATAGAACTACACTCTTCTTCATCATTTTTAGATTAATATAATTTTCTTTTAACAAATACACCATTAATTAGAAGAATCCCCAATTACAGAACATTCCCCTTGCTCTTTGGGCTTCATTTGACCCATTCTTCATTTGCCAGAAGCAAACATCTTTACCCCTAAGCATTCAAGCTAGCTCATTAAATCACTCTTCAGTCCCACCTTCCAGCTTCCAGGCCCAGGAAGAACTCTAAATGTCCCAACTATTTACTGTTTTTAATCCCCAATGCGACATTAAGTGAATTGGTTCTGTCATGTGAATATAACTGATTGTGTTTCCCCTAATAAAGACAGACTCTTGAGTTATCCATTTGCAAGTGAGCCCAAAGTAAAAGGAAGAGAGAACTACTACTGTCAGATGCCAAGTTAACATCAATTGCTCATGCCATGGAACTGCCAATTAAACTTCTGGAGTAATCTTTCAAACACAGTTTTCCAGCCCGAGAACTGTGTATAAATCCATAGTGAATTAAGAGGCATAAAAGGTAAATCTTAAGCTCCATACATGTGTTAATATTCTTGGTTGGTCATTGGTAGATGACATTCATGGAGTCAGAACAGTCCTGACTTTCACTTGGAATGTGCCTTCCCTGAATTCATCCTCGTTTATCAGCCCTGTTCTGGGGGAAGTGACTTTGCAAAGATGTTGCTTTAATTTCTTAATGCTGCACCTCCCATTAAGCTCTACCAAGAAATAAAGGTTCCTTTCAAGAGTAGCACAGGGGCTGAGTTGGCTTCCTGTTTCAGGAGATTATAAATGTTCTCAAACACTTCTAAAAGGAAACAAATTCCAATTTGGGCTTTAAAATTCAGACTTATTTTTCACTCCATTTGGCATTGTGGTCTGAATGTGATAACAATAAAGCCTAACAGAGTAAAACAAATGTTTTTATCCCAAAGATACCTGACCTATGGGAGAATTTACTTTACCTGCAGAGATTCCATTTCTTCATCTTTTCTGTGGGTCTCCTCCAGGAGATCTGTAAGAAAGTAAAATACCCATCAGGATAATGTGAAAATGAGCTGCCTCTTACTATCAAACCCAATTCAGTCAATAGCTTATATAAACTGTTGCCTGGAAAGAGAATTTTGTGTTTAAGTGTGAAAAGGAATGTAAAAGAAATGCCCTCTGATCCCAACTGATAGGATGGGGCAGAGCTCTGGACTCTACCAATCCTAAGCTAGATGAGAAGCCCTGGGAGGTCTTGACTCTGATGGAGATACCAGAGAATAAAACTGACTAAATTACAAATCCAAAATCATATCACTATTTTAGGAATTTGGCCCAGTGCTTATATAACTCCAAAGTAATACAACATTTTCTTTAAAAAAAAAAAAACAACTTTTTTTTAAATGAAAAATGAGAAACAAACTATTTGCTCTTAAAATAAGCTTCCAAGCCAAGTTCCACCTCCAGAGTCAATTTTTATAACCAAATTAAAACATCTTAGAATAATGGGTGTTATTAATGGAAGCAGAACACCACCTTAGCTGTAAAGTCTTATTAATTATCATCTCACGCTGAGAAGGTGGGAACCATTGAAGCTACATCTGACCAAGAGCTTGGCATCATCTCAGAGAAATTAGTGGCTGGAAGGGAGGGTAGTCAACTGAAGAGAGTTCTGTCTAAATGCATGTATACAGCTATGGTATCTCAGTGCCCCACATTAATTTACAAACTTGCTATAAAGGAAAATATATTTGGCAAGCAGAATTTTCTGCCTGCAGCTTTACCACCCTGTGCTATGATCTTATTAGATCTCACAAACCTAAAGAGGGCTGGGTTGAGTCAGAAGTTGGATGAAAACAGGCAAGAAACACCTACAGCAGTGCACATTAATATTAGCATTTGCCTTGCTCCATGATTGATATTGCTCACCAAGAGGCTATGCTGCACAAAAGGAAACTATAACTTACAGAAATTCAATATATATCCCAGAAAGGCAAATGCAAATGTTTTTTAGCAAGTGCTATACTACATACAGCAGGAAGCAATACTATAGTGAGTAAGTAGCCAAGTCATACTGGTATAGGTCATAGCTGAACAGGCTGAAACTTCAGGAAACCTGGTAGATGATATAACTGATGATGAGACTGGATGGATAATTCAGCTACAGAGGAATTGCAAACAATCCCCTCAAGACACAATGCACTGGGATTCAGGGTAACAGGTAATTTTTGCTCTGAATCCCATAGAAGAGTTAACTCTGGCTCCTAAACCTTCCATAATCAGAGTTACATCAAAAAAACGAGAGGAGAAAGTCCATGCATTAGGCTGTACTTTTAAGGGGGTTTTTGGTAGGCTTATCAGGTTCTTTAACAATACAGAAACCAACTTAGAGTGTGGTAGATGGTTTAAGTGCCTTTGAAAATTCCTCATTCTGAATCCTTACTCATTTGCATTGTGACAATGCAGCTACTACCATCAAGAGGTCACGTACATCTACTTTCTACATCTCACATCTGGGCTGGCTTCCTGACTTGATTTGCTAAGGAGAATACAGCAGAAACATCTCTGTGCCAATCTGTACTGACAGTTCAAGAGGCCTTGCAGATTTTCATTTTTCTACTTGGAACTCTACGAACAAGCCCAGGACAGCCTGCTAGATAACAAGAGCCCAGGACTCTTCCCTGCAGGTTGCCTTAACTGGCAGCTAGCAAATGCCCAGAAGCATAGCTGTTCATCTGGCCTGATGATGACCACAGAGGACTCAGAAGGGGATCCCAGTGGAGACCAGACAAACTGCCCAGCTGAGTCCAGGGCCAAGTCCAATTCACAGAATCCAGACCTAAAGAATGGAATTGGGGGATGGTTTGGTACCCAGCACTTGCTAACTTACAGCAACCAGTTGTTAACTGTACAGGAAGCTTTCAGATTTATTAGAAGTATATAAGAGTAATTAATAGATACCTGGAAGAAAGGATCTTGACTCTGCAGAGAATAACAACTGGTCTTGAAGGCTAGGGATGTAAGTAGCATGGACTAATGGGCATTTTATCCTGGGTGTCTCTAATCTTTGTGTCACTCCACTCCAAATTCCATGAAGAGAGGAGCTAATGAGACTTGCTCACATCTCTTGACTACTGTTTGGCTAGGGGAAAGGATGGAGCACCTTCACTGATAATCCCAGGAAGACGAGGAACAGGAAGGATAGTTTCTACATACAAGATTAGAAGGTTCTCTAAGTTAGGCCCCTTGTAATGAATTACACTGTTAAATGGGACATTGGACCTGGAGTGGTGGACAGTAGGGTTCATCAACCAATCAAAGAAAACTGATCTCATTCCACCAGAGTCAGCTTGGTACAGCAAACACCAAACAGCTAAAACTTACTGGATAATTAATGGGTATTGGATCTCCTATAGAGTCAAGCTCAACTCACAGATTTGATAAAATTATAAATGTAAAGAAGCTCCATCACCCTCAGAACTTCATAGTATTATTGCAACTTCAAAATTATGTTCTCTATTTTCTCCAAATGCATAGAGATCAAGCTGCTTTCCAGCAAAGCGAATACCATTGCAACCCTTGATTTTGGACAATTGAACAAAAACGACTACAGAGATTACTACAATTGGCATTTAAAATATATAACTCCTGGGGTGCCTGGGTAGTTCAGTCGGTTAAACATCCAACTTCGGCTCAGGTCATAATCTCACAGTTCGAGTTTGAGCGCCACAGCAGGCTTCTCTGCTGTCAGCACAGAGCCTGCTTTGGTTCCTCTGTCCCCCCTCCCTCCCTCCCTCCCTCCCCCTCTGGTTCTTTCTCTCTCCAAATAAATAAATAAACTCAAATAAACTCAAATAAACTCAAATAAAATAAAATAAAATAAAATAAAATAAAATAAAATAAAATAAAAAAAATAAAGAACTCCTAGAGGTGCCTGCTTGGCTCAGTTGGTTAAGCATCTGAGTTCGGCTCAGGTCATGATCCCATGGTTTGTAAGTTCAAGCCCTGCATTGGGCTCTGTTCTGATGGTGTTGCACCTCCTTGGGATTCTCTTTCTCCCCCTCTCTCTCTGCTCCTCCCCCACTCGTACTTTCTCCCTCTCTCAAAATTAATAAATTTAAAAAAAATTTTTAAATAAAAATATAGAACTCCTGGGCTTTGGGGAATGATGGCAGAGTAGGAGAACCCTAAGCTCACCTCATCCTATGGAAACAACTAGGTAATACCCACATCAGTGTAAATAATCCAGGAAATGATTCAAAGACTGGCAGAATGGACGCTTCACAGCTAAACATAGAGAAGAGGCCACATGGAAGAGGGTAGGAAGGGCAGAGATAGACTGGGAGCTAAACAGGTCCTCAGACTATGCTCAGGAGGCAGGGACACAGTGTGCACAGAGATGGGAAAGAAACAGACCCTCAGACCAGGCGCCCAGGCCTGGGGAACCTGCACAGAGAAGAGGAATTCCTGTAACATTTGACTTTGCAAACTAGAGGGGCACAATTTCGGGAGTTCAGTCAGTGGTACGGTCAGTGGCACTTAATACCTGGAACCTGAAAAATAACCAGGCTGGACTCTGGGAGAGCCTGGAGGGTGAGAGGAAACTGAGTCTCCACCCTTAAAGAGACAGTAAAACAAAGAGCCTTGCAAAGATATAGCATAAAAGCAATAGTTTGAAAAATGCCTGAGTATGAAATGAAAAATCTCAGAGTATATACTGGACAGGCAGGGATCGTTAGGGCACTTCTCTAAGAATAAAAGAGCTAGGGGGTACCATTTCCCTCTCCCCTGCCCCCAGCCTAGACACACAGATACCTGTGGGAACCAGCGAGGCACCAACACTTGTTACCTAACTTGCTAACAGCATGTCTCGCCACAGCGTCCTCCTGTATATGTGCCCCCTCCAGCTAGGCATCAACTCAAGCCCAAAGTGGCCCCAGGATGGACCACTAACAACAAAGGGAACAAACCCTGCCCAGGACAGGCAAAAATGAGTAGAGTTTCTCTCCTGACGCCACAAGTTTATATTAGCCTGGTGCTTCCAAGGCTGTACTTTGTACTATGCTTAAAGGAACCTGTAAAACAGCAAAGCTGGTAAAGAAGAAAATAGAGCCAAGAGACAAAGAGTTGGCTGAGGACCAGATCCACCCTTGCCTGAAGCCCACAAAACTCCCGAACTTCTAGCTCTCTCTCCCTCCAACTCTCTGTTTCCCTTCTTTTTCCTTTCTTCTTTCCTTCCTTCCGTCCTTTCTTCCATCTTTCTCTTCCCTCCCTCCCTTCCTTTCCTTCGTTTTACTTATACTTAAATTAGGTTTAGTTGGATTGCCATCAGTTTTAAAAGCCTCTGGTTGTATGGCTGTACTGAACTTTTTTATCTTTATTCAGAAACTTGGAGAACTCGAAATTGGCAAGAATGTTCTGTTATACAGGGAAGCATTTCATCCTACAATAAATACAGAGAAGACAAATGATTTGCCCAAGATTACCTAGTTAGTGCTAAAGCCACAGCTAGCACTTTGCTCTCTAATCTTCTTGCTGTATATATCATATCGTGCTCTCATTTGTACCACTCAGTGCTTAATTGTACCTTTCTTCATACTGTTATTTTAAAAATTGCACATGTTCCTACTCCTCTGATTTCCTTTAGGAGTTCTCTGATGTCAACAATCAGGGCTCCGATGTCTTCATATCCATATCCTCCCTAACTACTGCCTCTCTACGGTTGCTATTTAACTTGGATCCCCAAAATTGTCTTCTCCACCAACATCACTGCTCTGTGCAATTGCTCACTTGTTAGTTCCTTTGTTCAAGTACATGTCTTTGGGATGATGAACGGGGTTATTAACCTGTGACAAGAAAATATGGCCAGTGGGCCCTGCTGAGAAGCAACTACTCTGCAGCAACCACAAGATGAGACAATGTAGGTGAGACCTCTGGACGGCTGACGTGACATAAGGCTGTGACAACAGAGTGTGACTAGTGCACCCCTCGTTAGAACAAGCAATCTTGCTGTTGTTTGCTCTTACCAGC